AGGAAGTAGGAACTGTTCCATGGTTTCCTTTAATGGACATCAACTCATACAACAACAAAGGCTTGAATGCAATTATGGTTTCCTGCAGAAGAAGGAACATGTAATGAAATCTTAGTAAGATGCAACAGATTTTCAAGAAGTTATATGGATAGAAGATGTCACTATTTTTGATAATTACCTGGGTGTGGGCTCCAATAATTGTGTCTCCATGGAAATCCCGAATGGATATAATGGTCACCAAACCAGAGTTGTCGCTGTCGAACATTTCAGTATCAGTAAAACCTATACAAAAATAGTACTTGTGAATGCATTCTCAAAGTTTTAGCAATAGTACCTGCTAGCACCGTCAATTATAGGCTTCAAGTAATTGGTGTCCCATGTGGTAAAATCAACTTCCCATCTAGAGTAAAGCTCTTTCACTACTTTTGTCATTGCACATAGAATTTTCTTGACGTTTGAATCATGCATCTTCTTTAGTTCAATTTCATTTGACCGTACATACGTTGGGTCAGCAACATGTACACATTTTAGCATCATGTCAAGGAAATACGAGCACCATGTAACATTAACTAGAGCAGGAACTATAATCTGCACAGAGATTAATAATTTAGTTAGTACGCCGTAATTTGATTGCTCCTTACATATTATTTCTGAAAATAAAAAACTTCGAAACATATATATTTAGTTGATGCCAACAAACTTACGGTTCTGCACTCGGATATATCATAGAATACAGCAGTCTTCCTAAACTGATCAAGAATAGATCGGCTGGACATAACATTTTCATTTCCTAGAACCATCATCTGCATTCATTATATCAAATTGCATTATTTTACATTCATATTAAAAAACATATAATAATTAATAAGAAGCTAATGTTAATATTTATATTTCATTTTTTTATTTTAGGAAACTTACAGCGAAGTCGGACTCCATTATATGCCTACACCTTTGCTTCTTTGATGTGCCATAAATCAACATTTCTAGTTGAACCAATCTCCTGATACATAAATCAAATACTGCATAGCTAAATGGTTTGAATAGTACGAGTGTATCCTTCAATTCATTCCGTGTGACCTCTATGTACCTTGGTTCATAATTTATTATCCAGCACCTGTTATACAGTTTGATAATGTATGAGCTGTATTAATAAATCAATATATTGTGTATATGCCATTCTTTAAATGGATTATACTTACACTTCATTTTCGTCTTGCTTGCTGTGTAGTACCCAATTTGAGAATGTAGCTAGCATGGCTGATGATTTTTGAAGCATTGTAGTACCGACAAGCACATGATTACTTGCCAATTGACCGTTGCTTACTTTAATTTTATCAATCGGTGAGTCCGTGAACTCTGCTTCTAGTGCTCTTGCATTTAAGGATATCTTCTCGCTGAAACAAACGGAATGCAACAGCTGTTTCTGACATCCTACTAGCAACTGTTGCTGGTGAAAGTTCATTCCTTGGTGTTTGTACATTCTCAAAATCTGTAGATGTATTAGAACATGGTGTTCTTGTTGCATTAGTTGGTGTTCTTGTTGCATCCATATTTCCTGAAATTAAAATATTTGCAAATTAATTAGTATGAACCAGATAACTATGGTTGGTGGAATTAATTCAGTATAGAAAACACATGACATATAACGTAATCATTGCAGAATAAATTACTATGAGTTCATATCTCTTACCAGCAATTTGAAACATTTTGCTTTTAGATGAGTCAATTTTTTTTGAAGTGCCTGAAACATTAATAGAAAAAAGTTATCAGTAAATAGTATGCGCAGCAAAAGTTAATTTTTCTTGCAAACTACTTACAATCACTATTTGAATCAGCTCCACTATATTCACTTCCAGAACGCTTTAAACTGTTTTTGCACTTTGGTGGACCTTCTAATCGAACTTCTATTGCCGGGACATGCTCATGAAGCCTCTTTGCTAATTCAAGGTTATCATTTAAAATGATTTCCAATAGATTGTCTATTTTGGCAGATAAATTATCTGTTGCTGATGTTGCCAATGTTGGGTTATTACAAATTGGCTGTGCAATTGATTTGAACTCATTCATATGTCTTATAATCCTAGCACTGTGCCATTTAAGATCAACTATTTGAGGAACGGATAGCTGATCAAATAAAAAGTGTTAGCATTGAAAGTTCATTCTTGTAAAATTTATCTACTATCCAAAATGTTAGAATTTTGTACCTTCTTTGGTGTTGTTCCTTGTACATAAGAATCAATGAAAATATTGAGTGGACGCTTTGCATGACTAGTAGTTTGTACTGCTGCAGGCTTGCTTGTGCCCTTGTTAGGTATAAATGGAGGTTTATTCATTGTAACACTTGCAAATTTGTATTTAGTAGCAGCTTCGTTAGGAACAATTTGTTTCCTGTTCCTGAATGACTTTAGCTGATAAACATAGAAAACAAATTTGATTAGTTACAAAAAATCTAAAAAAATTATATTATAGCATACTAAATATAATTGCACCTCATTAGATCCAAAAGAATCATTATCAAACTTCTGCCTCACAAGTTCTATCATCTTTGACATCTTCTCACAGTCAAATGCAGATATAGTAGGCACTACATAATCAGGTATGTTCAGAATTCCAAGATTAAGGCTGTCTAAAACGAAAGCCTGTTTTATTGTTATGAAAGCAAAACAATTAGTTTCATTGAATTGTCAAATGATAAACCAGAAGAAACAAAAAAAATGAATATGCATCGTACTACTTTGAATTAAATTACTCACCTGCAAGAGTAGCGGGCAGCTAGAAACATATTTGATAGATTTTTTGGTTTTCAATTCATACTGAGCTTTTCTTGCTACATTCATAATTTCATTAATTGCTGCTGAGCAGAAGTTGTATGATGGTATTTCATTAGGTGTGAGTAGTGAACCCCAGAAATCTTTGGCACCGTGATTTGCACTGCTACAAGCTATTAAGAAATAACCCATTATGAAGCAAACAAAAGAAGTCTTGAATTGGTCAACCTGTGTTGCATCCATACATTTGGATACTCCCTGGTTATTATTGTTTCAGCCACCTTCAAGCTGTTCATCTCTTCAGGATCGTATGTCATAGATCCCATTGCAAGTCGCAAGAATTCTATTTTCTCGTCTACTGATTGGCAGTCCAATCCTCTCGATATGTTAGGACCTTTAGGTATTCTTAGAATTCTGTGTACATCATCATCAGTTATTCGCAGCGAAACTTTTTCATTCAGTCTTATTGTTCTAGTATCAGGTTCAGTGTTGCATAGTAGCAGTACTGTTAACTTTCTATCTAACTTGTTTATTAGTGGAAGGTCCAACAGTCCTCCAAAATCCATATCTTTCACAAACTTCCTTTTATAATTGTCATACTTGCTTATCACTGCTGCAACCTTTTTGCAAGAACTTCTAGGAGTTGCTGCATCACATTCAGAAGCATCTGAATTTTTAGAATCATTAGACTTCCTCTCTGAACTATGATCATCTCCTGACATGTTGTAGCAAATCCTAGGAAATCACAGTAGGTAACAAATTAGATTTCTTTCACTTTAAATGATCTTTGTTTCATTCATTTCTTTAAAATATGTTTACTGAAATATGAAATGGATAAAATTGCTAATAACAAAAGTTGTTATACAATGGTCAAGTAAAATGTTCCATTCTTTCTGTGTTAAATCCAATTCCAATATGCAGGAAATTATATGATTTAGCAAAGTTCTGGAATGTAAGAAAACAACCTATTTTTTGGTTATTTACTATATATATATGTACATATCAGTAAATATGTTATACGATATATCTTCAGGATATAAATGTTTATTACTGTCTTCTGATTTTCACTCGATGAAAATTGACTTTTGTTTTTTAGCGAGCATGCCAATAATATTACACTTACAACTGTAATTAATGAAACAATATTGGAGTTAACGTTTGTAGTAGCAAGTGAAATTGGATATCACTAAATATACAAGTTTCAATGCAGAACTAAAATTCTGTACATATCACTAAATATGTTATACATTATTTCTTCATGATATATACATGTCTATTATTGTCATGTGTTTTTTAGTGAATCAAAATTGAAAAGTGATATACATGTTTACCATATTCCTGGAAACGATTGTAACAGAAATTGAAATACTATATCAGTAACTGAACATGTTTCACTGCAGAACAAAAACTAAGCTAGCTTGCAGGCATTCAACAATGGTCAAAATAAACATAGAGGTATGTAGCAGATTGGAAGAATATTGTAAGTGTTGGTCAAACGGAGCAGAAATATGTTTGTTCAATAGAAAGAAAAATTAAGAGATTGAACTTACTGAAACCGAATCCTTACTAACCTCTTTTTGTTAAAGAATCTTGGGTTTCTTCACATCAGTACAACTCTAGTTGCCATCATAAGCGCCGAGATCTTAGGATTGAGATTGGAAGAGAAGTATCACTCTTGAGCTGATGCAGTCCAGAGGTAGAAGATGAACATGAATGGCGATTGAGTGAGAGCTCTTGGGTTACAGAGTGCTTCTATGGCTGTGAGCTGGAGGTATGGGCAGAGATAGTGGGAGAGATGGGTTGCCTAGTACCACGCGTGCTGTGACAGAAGTCATTGCCTCGGTCTACGAGATTGATTGGACATGGATATGACAACACACTACACTGCCTTAATGGTTAGTACTATTTGGCAGCAGACATGTAAATTTTACACATTGGCCACCTAGTTAGCATTCATATGTAAATTCCTTTAGGCAGTATTATATCACATTAAAATTTACATGTCACCGAAACAAGAGACCCAACAGTGAAACTTCTTAGTGTGTGGAGGTCTTATATGTGCAAAAAAAAAGTAGGAGTGAAATGAAAAAACAGTTGTCCTGGATATTTCCATTGTCTGGTTTCAAATTTGGGAGGTACATTTTGGTGGGAAACTTACCTCTAGAAGTAGTAGTATAAAATCCAGGCTGAGACTTGTCCATGTCCCCGTACCTATGCAAATATTAGTCCACAATGAGCCAGGAAGAGAACAATGTTGTGGCACTCTCAGCCTTCACCAATGGCAGCAATCCGAAGGAAGAAAATCCGATGGAAGCAAATCTTAGTTTCTCTAAGGTAATTACTATAAGCTGTTCGTTGTTATGTTCTGTTCACTGACATTTGAATTTTCCGATTCCACTTTCATTTGGTATGCTTTTGGATATCTTCTTCTGGTTTTTTATTTCAATTTCTCTTTCACTTCTGTTTGGTAGAAAATATCGGATGGGAGCTCATGTGAAGATGATGCTGACTCTAGCATGCGTTCAGTACATACAAAAATCTTGAAGGACAGCCATGTGGAACAAATAGAAGTAAGCACACTTTAGTACATTAAACTTCCATTCGTGGATGATTAATATGTTATTTGTATGCAGCATCCTTTGCTAGTAGTTGAAGAAAACCATTTGCTGGAGCATGTTGGAGAAAACGTTGTTGGTGAGCATATACATTTTGAAGCAGAGCTAGATGAAGGCGACGTTGCGTCTGATGTTGAAGTTGAAAGACTACATCGTGTACATGAAGAGCCAATTACATACTTCCAGCTGCGTAGGGTTGGTGCGGATGGAAGATCGATGAAGAGGAGAAGAATCGATGAGTAACTTTGAAACATGGAAATTGCAGATGGTAGAGGTGTTTCATATTTCATTTTGTGTGTCAACATAGTTGGCATTTTCTTTTGGATTCAAATTACAAGATATTCTCTATCCTGTATTAAGTAGATTTAAAAAGTTGTGGGCAATATATGTTAGTTCTTATTTAATGTTAAAAATTGAAGTTTGTTCTTATTTAATAATTTATGTATTACATATTTCAGTTCAATGAAATGGCTGAGTTGTGTGTCATTTCATTCAAATTAAAAACCTCTAACATTATTTGTATGCGGCACTACTCAAATGTATTATGTATTTTAACGCAGCTCTTGAACTAGTCGATATAGAATTTCAATACCTACAATTTAGATACGTAATCAAATTTTCACGTTTCACTTACATAAGCTGTGAAAATTAATTACAAAAAGCTTACATGAACTGTACATGAAGTTACTTAACTTTTGTACTATTTTTTTTACAATTACAATAGATAGGGGAGCACCTTAATTTACAACTTATTTACTTTAAAATAGCTAACATTAGTGAAATAATACCGAAACTCAGGAAACATATCCAACCAAGTTAAGATAATATGGCAGAAAACATTAGTAGCACAATGATATATAATTTGTTTTTTCATTATATGAAATACTGAAATGTATTCATACTGAAGCGCGTCGATAGAAGCATGAAATCAGGTGCTGAATACTAGTACAATGCGTGAGAAAAGAAGTTCACTGATAGTAAACACTAATGATTATGACAAGAAATGAAATCAACAACAGTATTACGTAGTCTTTCTTCTTTGACTCAGCACTAATGGACAACAGTCGATCCTTCAGCAGCTTATTCTTTATAAGGAAATAGTTCTCTCGGTTACTTTTCTCTTCATTGCCATCTTCTAGTTTGACCATTGTATTTTCCATGTCAAGATGAAGGCTGGCCAGGTAGTTCTTCATTGGAGATGCATTCTCAGGATCAACCCAACATGTCCATGCACATTCATCTCCCTAAATATAATCCCATTTTTGGAAAAGTAAATACAAATAAAAGAATTACACATGTAATATATGGTTGAGTTTGTACTTCTTACATCTAGAGGACAGCCGAGGAAACGCCTACCACCATGCTCGATACCCCATGCAACCCTGCGGGTAGGACTGTATCCATGGATGCATCATCGGAGAGTTTGCTTGTCAATCTCGTTCCAGCTATCACATGGTTTGTTTATGTAGGGAACATCTTCATATACAACTAAACCGGCACCCTAGACAGAAAATGGCAGTAAGAGATTTACATCATGCAGTTATACAAAACAAATCTTAATAAGTAGTTTTGAAAGAAATAAGAACTCACCTGGTTCTCCACAGCTAGATTCATTCTTGAGATCTCAAGATGTGCTTTGAAGGAGGAGCAGTGCTTGGAGATTGAGTGCGTGCATGTGCTGGTGACTTGGTTGAATGTGTGTTGTGTATAATATAGGCAGCCAACACCTAGCCAACCGTTGGTTTGCAATAAATGAGCAATAAGTTGGCAGGTTGGCTTATAACTGTAGCATCACTTATTGAATCCACCCCAGTAGCTTTATATTACGTCCCACCAACCTTTTGTGCCAGATGACGAAATTAAATTCCATATGATTAATTTCATTAATGTTTACTATTGAAATCTTATACGTAACTAATTTCATATTTCAATCACGTTTTGTTATCGTTAATTTCAGTATGTTTGCCGCACTACAATTTTTACCATTAGAAAACATGGCCGTACAAAACTCCATCATTCCGTCAAAATGTAAAAAGAAAAATCAGATTAGATATAAAAAAATTATCATCATTCCATTACATTTTAGATCTGCAATGGTATTTCAATTCGTTACTATTAGGTGCAATTTGTATTTGAAATCGTTACTATTAGGTCAAATTTATTGCTATTATATATCGAAGATAAACGACATACTAATATGATCATTGCTATTATATATCGAAGATAAATGACGTACTAATATGAACTATGATATCTAATACTTTCATATGAACGTTTAATTCTTTACTTCTGAAGGTGTTGAAAATAATTATATTAGATATTACAAGACAGATGATACATTTTAGTACGTCCTTTATCTTTGTAAAAGGAAAATCTTACTTATACATAAATATTTATGTTATTATGAAGGTATTTAGCATTATTTTGATACTATATTGAAGTAAGTACTTGTGTTAGGGAAATTAAAAAATTAATACTTCATGTCTGCCATTAATTGATATAGCTAGATCTGAATGCAATGTAGATTGATGGAACATTAGTTTGCTTATGTTATAAAATGCCAATTTCATTGATTAACTAGTACATCCATTGAATACAATCGATCATTACGGTTCACATTCCGGAAGTAATAAGAAAACAATTGAAAAACGCCCATCAAAAATAATATATAATATGATTTTATGAATGAAGACATTGCGTCTCATATAGATCCTACTTACTTCAATATAGAAGTTATTGAGATTACATTGCGTCTCTTATTGAAATGGTAATTTAGTATTTTTACCATTTTGTCTAGTACTTATGTATCACTATATGCTATTAGAACATAAAAGTCCTTGTACTATCTTGTAAATGTCATGTTAAGTTAAATGTTAGCTCATTACTGGCATTTGATATTGTTAATGACATGTCAAATTCGTTCAACATGTTAGATTGGAAAAATACAACTATAAACCCATGTTAGATATAAGTAAATTAAAATGATAAGTGTGTGCCACACTTGTTAGGAGTAATAAATGAAGTTTTTTAACCGGAATTAAGAACGTTTTAGGGAAAAAGTACGATCAAGACTTAATTGTAGTGAAATAGAGGTAGAGCTGACATGTTAGTATATACTTTTTGTGTAAGTATGATATTAGAAGCATGATTTTGAGCTGCCAATGATTTTGTCCATTGCCACTTTGTATCATGCGTTTAACAAAGCAATTTCATTATTTAGCGCTTGACGCTGAAAGTCTTAGATCCGAGTAATAAGAAATAATAAGTTGAATCAAATGATTGCAATATTTCAATTCTTACTAAAATGTTAATCCTATGGGAAACACTTCTATTATTGAATTATTATACATGAGATGATAAACATCACAATAATAGTACAAATAAAATATGAACAAAGTGATCTTGTGTACATCCTTCCTCTTGCTATGATTAACCTTGTTAGTGGGCTTCACAGACTAGTACTGGAATCGCCCACTACAATGTTGTTGTAATGCGAACTGTGATTTACGCTTATTAGAGCAACTCTAGCAGACAACGCTAACATGAGGGCCGTGTCAGAATAACAACAAGGAATGCTAAAGTTTTTGAGGTGCGTGTGATAGTCTATGCCTGAAACAGTTTCATCGTTGGTTTCAGCCTCGCCGTTGATTTCACCTGCATATAATGGTAAGCAGTTGGTGTGCTGGAAATTCCCTCTCGAATTTAACGCACCTTCCCTTTCAAAGTTAACCAAACCACCTTCCCTCTCTCATTTAACGCACCATTATTCTGGCTAAACGACCAATTAGGAGCACACCCAAATGGGGCCAACCGTACAAGGACTCCACTCCCGGCAACCTGTGTCGTCTTGCCTATTGCTTAGCAAAGCGATGTAATGGTCGTTGATCATGTCATCCAGCCCGGGAAAGGTCTCATCGGTGTATGCTGGTATAGGTTAGATGACCGTCGTTGCCTATCATTTGCTAGAATGAGTTCTTATGGCCGTCCGCCGCGGTCGGCGCTAACGCAGAGTCTCAGTGCCTTGACGATCCCGCGCAAATAGATGGACGACTTCAAGCGGAAAGTGCGGCGGCTAAACTTTTGAAACCAAAGAAGCAATGAACGTTGTTTTTGAGAATCAAAACGACGGGGTTGGTGCAGTAGCTTTAGCTCATTTCAAAGCTATTTCTTTTATTTTTTTGCGTTAGTAGAAAGGTAAACTATTAACTAGTTTCAAGAATGTTACTGAAACTAGTGAAACTTGATTCTTAGTTTAGTGAAATAAGTTTTATAAGTGAAGTGAATTAATGAAACTATTAACTAGTTACACTCGTCTAAAAAATAACATAATTCACTCATTGAAACTTTTCAAGGAAGTGAAATTTGTTACTGAAACAACTGGAATAAGAAATTTAATAATGAAACTAGTTAATATTTTTGGAACTGAGTGAGTCCATCTGGAGTCCTTTTCCGGCACTCTATCGAATATAATGGTAAGCAGTTGAAACAAGAGAAATTACTGGAATGTGTTATTTACACCGAGTGCAATTATATAAATAAGATGAAACCAATTGTTGAAGTAAAATTAGTGAAACAAGAGAAATTACTGGAATGTGTTAAAAATGATATTGAAATAAGTGAAATGAGATAAATATTTTAGCAAAAGCATTGATATGACTGAAATATTATATTGAAACAATTGAAACATGAAATTGGAAGAAGTAAAATCTGTTACAGTTTTTAATATTGTAGCAAACATTGCCGTTGGATGTATAATAAAAGGTGACTGCAAGGGCACATGTTAGGCCCTAATTGCCAGCAGGCATGTCACCTCAGCCCAGCCATAGTAAAAATATATTTTATTAGGTCATATATCTATGTACGTGGAGTGGTGCACACAGACCTTTACTATAGTGTGTCCTCTACCTCTCGCCGTCTAGTAATCGTTCAACCACATAGCTACAGGAAACATTACCAGAGACTAGACGACAGAAAGAGAAGAGGAGCAGTCAAGATAATGGAAGAACTTTGAAGAAGGATCTCTGGGCTGGATCATTAGTAGTCAGAAGCTCGTCGAGACTGCTCTCCTTACCGCTGAGAAGCAATTCCAAGCTTCCTCTTTTTCTCTGAAATCGACGGTATGTTCCCTTATCTAATATATTTCATTTATATTTTGCTGCAATTGATGACATCTTTAGAAATGATAGATCTGTCCTCTGGTCATCACTTTGCTTACTTTTGTGACTATCCATTTTTTGCAAATC